AAGTTCAACGTCTTGCCTATCGGTCAGAGCGTGATTTTGGCCCTGCGTCCACCGCAATGGACCTCCCTGCAAGGCCGAAATGCTCTGATTGTGCTGGGCCGGAATCCCTCGTCAACCGTGGCGGAATTTGCCAACACGCTGGCGGCTTACCTGCGCGACCAAGCCGGCGTAGCTCTTGCCAGCATCGTTCCGCTCGACCGGATTGACACCACTGACATCTCAGAGAATGATGTCGCCATCTCGCTTCTGGAGACGGAGCGCGAGTTCCTTGCCACCATCAGCCCCGAGGACATGGATCGTCTCCGGGCCATTACGGACGTCGTCAGGGACCTGCTCTGGGTCACAGGTGCCAACATGTTGGGCAGCGTTCCGGATCCTAACTTGACTTTGTCTAATGGTCTGTCGCGTGCCCTGATGCTGGAACAGCCGGCGCTGCGATACTCGGTTCTGGATATCGGGCCAGTTTCGCTGTTGTCGTCTACTCCTAATGCCATCGGAACCTGTGAAAATGCCCTGAGAGCCCTAGCGATCAACCAAGAGAAGGATGACAGCGAGTTCATCCAACGTGATGGTATTCTCCACATCAGCAGGTTTGGCCCCGACCAGGATGTTAACTCGCTCTTCCGTCGGCGACTGGAGCCCTTGGGGTCTTTGGAGAGGCAGACACTTGCGACAGCCGGTATCGCCCGTCTCTCAGTTGGAAGGCCTGGGGCGACGGATAGTATGTTCTTCCAGCAGCTGGCTTCAACAGCAAAAACAGTCCCGGAGGCGGGCTATGTCGATATCGAAGTCAAGGCAGTGGGCCTCAACGCCAAGGATGTATATGCCATCGCCGGCCGCGTGGAAACGCGCAATCTCACCACAGCCATCGACTTCAGTGGTATTATCACGGCCGTTGGCGAGGGTGTTGAGCATCTCAGCGTCGGTGACCGCGTCGTCGCCTGGGCGCCTAACCACTTCACCACGACGGAGCGGGTGCCTGCTGGGAGTGTGCACAAGCTACTCGACCACGAAGAGCTTACCATCATGTCCACGCTTATCACAGTGTACGGCACTGCGTTGTATGCGTTCAACCATATTGCGCACCTGCGCGCCGGTGAGTCCGTCCTGATCCACGCGGGCTCTGGTGGTCTCGGGTTCGCAGCCATCACCCTGGCCCAGAAGAGAGGCGCCGTCGTCTACACAACGGCTGGGTCAAAGGCAAAGCGCGAGTACCTGGTCAATGAGCTTGGCGTGCCGGATGCGCACATTTTCAACTCGCGCGATGCCTCTTTCGTTGAGGGCATTCTGGAAGTCACTAACGGCCGGGGTGTTGATGTCGTGCTTAACTCACTCACCGGCGACCTCCTTCACGCAAGCTGGGCGTGCCTGGCGACTTTTGGACGCTTCATTGAGGTGGGCAAGCGGGATCTGGTGGAAGCTGGCAAGCTGGACATGCGTGTTTTCCTACGCAGCTGCACATTCACAGCCTTTGACTTATCCGAGTTCTTCTATGCCCAGGAGCCTCATAACCGCGCTATTTGGGATGGGTTGATGACTCAGGTTATTGAGCTGTACCGCGCGGGGGATATCCAGGCTCCGCCAGTCAAGGTGTTTGGGGTTAACGAGATTACTCAGGCGTACCGCACCTTTACCCAGCAGGACCGTATTGGCAAGATTGTTATCTCTCTGGAGAACCCTCAGGCACGGATTCCGGTTAGTATTCCTTCACCAACAAAACAAAAATTCATGCTAATCTAACCACAGGTCGTCCCTGCTGCTTACCTCTCCGTCTTCGACCCTGAAAAGGTTTATCTTCTCATCGGCTGTCTGGGTGGTCTGGGCCGCAGTCTCAGTCGCTGGATGATGTCCCGTGGAGCCCGCCACTTTGTCTTCCTGGGCCGTTCCGGCGCCGACAAGCCCAGCGCACAGCAGCTAGTCGCCCGTCTCCAATCCGCGGGTGCCCACGTCGACGTTGTCCGCGGCGACGTCTCCAGGGCCGCAGACGTGACAGCCGCTGTGGCAGCCTCTCTCGCCACGGGCCGCCAAATCGGTGGTGTCGTCCAAGCAGCCATGGGCCTGCACGAGGCGCTCTTCACCCGTATGCCCAATCAGGCATGGCACACAGGCATTGACCCCAAGTGGCAGGGTACATGGAACTTGCACAATGCGCTGCAGGGCCACGATGACGCTCTGGACTTCTTCCTGCTTACCTCCTCGGTCTCGGGGACTGTCGGCACAGCCACGGAGAGCAACTACTGCGCTGCAAACGGTTTCCTCGACGCCTTTGCCCGCTGGCGTCGTTCACAGGGCAAACCCGCCGTCGCAGTCGGTCTGGGCATGATCTCGGAGGTCGGATACCTCCACGAGAACCCGGAGATCGAAGCCCTCCTCCTCCGCAAAGGTATCCAACCCCTCAACGAGGACGAATTCCTGCAAGTTCTGGACCTCGCACTCCTCAGCGAAGCAGCCCACAACCCGGACCAAGCACACCTCCTTACCGGCCTGGAACCAGCCGGCGTCCGGCAACTCAAAGCCCGCGGCTTTGACGTCTCCAACCACGGCGTGTTGACAGAAGCCCGCGCCGCCCTCCTAGCCGCCTCCCTCGCAGCGGAGCAAGAAGTCCTCGACGCGCAGAACTCCACCTCCAGCTCTGGCTCCAACTCAAACACCCCCACCACCGCAGCACCATGGTTCAAAGCGCTCCCTGGCACGGCAACATCAACATTCGCCTCCGAGGCCGACGCCGAGTCTTTGAACGCTGCTATCCTGCGGTTGATTAAGAAGCGGTTTTCGAATTTGATCCTCATGCCTCTAGAGCAGATTGATGAGCGCAAGGCGCTGCCGCAGTTTGGGGTGGACAGTATGATTGCGTCGGAGTTCCGGACGTGGTTCTATACAGTGTTTAAGGTCGATATCCCGTTTTTGGACTTGATGAGTGCGCAGAAGTCGTTGGAGGGGCTGGCGGTGGTTGTGGAGGGGAAGTTGGTGGAGGGGTGGAAGTAGCAATCAGGGATGTGGATTGGGAAGAGTTGGGTTTTGGCTATTGTGTTTCATTTGTTCTTTTTGTGTACGTTTTTGGTTGTACTTTTGGGGGCTGTGAGTTTCTGTTTGTTGTTGTTGTTATTGTTTGGTAGACACACGAGCATGCTAGATTGAATACACGACTTACTGGGTATTTTTTTCCTTGTAGACTCTAGTGATCTTCATTATAGGATACATTGTTCTATTATACAATCCACCGGTTTAAATTTACTTGGCCGTATTCTCAACAACATGCGAACTCTCCAGCCACGTCCCGAATTCATCCAGTCTGGACTCTTCCTCTTCATCCTTCGCATCGATCCCCCGTTCCGCCATGTCTTCGAGTGCCTCGCGTTTCTCGTTGGTTTTCTTGAACTTTTCTTTTCCGGATGAAATGTATGCTTCCACGCGTGTACCAGCGAAGTAGCGGCCGTCCATTACCTGCGCCGTTAGCTGAGTTTCTAGATCAAGAATGGTGGGTGATGGTGTGGGTGAATACCTGAATACAAGCTCTTGCGGCTTCCGGCTCTTGGAATCTCACGCTAACAACACCTTCTAGTTCTTTATCGTAGAGAACCACGTTGGTTATTTCGCCGAGTTTGGAGCATTCATCGCGGATGTCTTGTTTGATGTCGAGAATGGCTGTTGGGTCCTCCTACACAACGCTTAGAATGTCGGAACCCCTTGGGGCAGGGGGGGGGGGGGGGGGGGAAGACGTACCTTGATTTCTTCCAACGTAAACATATGTTTGAGAATGACAACCTTTTCCAACTTCGAGCTCGTATTCGCCATCATCGAGGGGTCGTCGTCATCCCAGTCCGCCAGTTTGCTGCCCGAGTCAGCCACATCTTAACCCAGGACCCAAAGTGAAGGTGACGCACCTATTCAACTTCTGTGTCCGCGCAATAATCTTCTTCTTATCTCTATTGTTACTCTGCACTGGCGCTTCGCGCTGACTCTTGAACGAGAAATCCGCCGCCTGCACCCTCATACTCCCCGTCGGCCCCGTCTGCCCGATCCGAAAATCCGAATCATCAAGCATCTGTATTGCAAGATTCACCGACTCAGGCCGGAAATATACAACTAGTGCTTCACCCTTGAAGGCCCCGTTGTCGTCGGTATACATTTTGATGCGTTCGCGGCCGCTGTCGATTTCTTCGGCGATCACGCCGCATTTTGTGAAGAGGTCACGGATTTCGGTAAAGGTGGCATCGAGGGGGAGGGATGTTATGTAGATAGCGGTGTTGGTGCGTTGCTTTTTGGGTTTCTGAGGGTCGTCCTGTTACTTTATTAGCCAACCTTCATTTCAGCTAAGCGCAAGAATGGTGAAAAAATAGCTCACGTCGACGGCCTGCTGTTTCCGCTTCTTCTTCAACTGCTGTGCTGTAATCTGCTCGTTTTCGTCCACGCCTTCGACTTTGTATGCTTCTTGTTGTTTGCGGAGGAGGTCCTCATCCAGCTACACCACATTCCAATTAGCTCATTTATTCTCCACCTCAAATCGACATCTGGGAGAAGGTGGAGCGCACCGTCTGAATCCACCTCTTTAACACCGCATTCCACTCGAATTCATTCCCGTCGTCTGTTTCGAGAATGTACTTATCATCGAGCTTGGAGAAGGATATGCGCGGGTCGGAGTCGAAGTCGGAGGGATCTTGGGGGAAGTTGTTGAGTGCGGAGTCGGGGAGCTGGTCAGTCATTGTCCCGGGATAGATAATGAGGGATAGGTATAGAGGGTGTTGAGGGTGTTGGAGTTGTGGTCGTTGAGGAGAGTGAGGAAGTCAAGGAAGTGAGATCGAGACCATTTGGATTTCAGTGACGAGACCGAGCTCCGGTGGGGTTGTGATTGGTTGGTGCGGTTGACCAATCAGAGCTCAGTTTTGTGTTCTATGAAAAGAAGACTAAATAGTTACATTAAATACCACAAAAGAAAGCTAAAAGTAACGAGTGATTCCCACAGGAAAAGAATAAAAATATATACAGCAGCCAAGAAACGATTATGTACCGCCCACCACCTTGGTCTCAACAGTGCTATTACCTTCGATTGGAGTGACAGTGCGTCTCGAAGAACTCTCGTCAACGCCGTTGATCACGTCGCGGGTGATTTCGACGTAGTCATACTGCATCTGTTAGCAAAGGACAAGTTGGACAGAGGATAGGGACGTACAGCAAACTCTCCAATCTCGGCATCGTCAATGCCCATCACTTCATTCTCCTCCGGAGCACGGAGACCGAGGCCGGGGACTAAGTTGATGAGGAAAAGGATGATGCAGCTGCCGACGAACGAGTATGCAAGGCCAGATACTGAGTCGGCGAGCTGGTACCCGAGCTGTATGTAATTGTGGTTGATCCAGCCGCCGTCAATTTCGGTTGAGCCGTCGAGGTGCGCGATGTAGTCACTATACTTGTTAGTGGAATCACAATGGTCACAATGGAGAAGGATGTGAGACATACGCAGCAAAAAAAGCAGTAAGAATGTTCCCCAGAATCCCCCCAATTCCATGCACCGCAAAAATATCCAACGCGTCATCAACCCTCAACAAATACTTCAACTTGGTTGCATAATTGCACCCCGCAGCTCCCACAACCCCAAAGATAAATGACGCCCACGGCGTCACAAACCCACTTCCAGGCGTGATAGCAACCAGTCCCGAAAGCACTCCCGAGCAAAACCCAACAGTCGACCACTTTTTCTCCAACCTATAATCCAGCAAACACCAAGTAACACCACCAACACCAGCAGCAATATTCGTCACGACAGCCGCCATCACAGCACGCAGATTTGCACTCAGCGCAGACCCCGCGTTAAACCCAAACCAGCCTACCCAGAGAAAAACCGTCCCAATAACGACACTGGTGACATTGTGCGGGCGGTAGTTGAGCTCGTGGGTTCCGTGGCCGCGACGCTTGCCGAGCATCAGGGAGTAGGCTAGTGCTGCGGAGCCGGAAGCGATGTGCACGGGGGTTCCTCCTGCGAAGTCTAGGCCGCCTAGTTGGTATACCCAGCCGGCGGAGTTCCAAGTCCAGCAGGCGAGGGGGTCGTAGATGATTGTTGACCAGATGAAGATGAAGATGAGGCAGGGGAGCATGCGGCCGCGTTCGGCGACGGCGCCGACTGCGATGGCGACACTAATGTTTCATTAGTATCGTTGACATATGTCAAAGAAAGAGTAGTACCCACGTAATACAAGCAAACATTCCCTGATAAACGCAGAACAGAATATCCGGGACCTTGTCACTTCCAACGGACGGGGCAGCCAGGACGCCTTTGAGTCCAAAGTTGTTGAGATCTCCGATGTATTTACCGGCCGTGTGCGAGAAAGCTAGCGAGTATCCCCAGAAGAACCATTGGAAGGACACCACACCGACTGACATGATGGAGAGCCATAGAAGAGAGAGGGCGGACTTTCGGCGGGCTAGACCTGAGTAGAAGAATCTGGTTTGTTAGCGTTGCGTCTAGTGAAGTTTGGATTGCGATTCTTACCCAACTCCCGGAATCATCAAGAGAACAAGAGCGGTAGAAGTGATGACCCAAGCAATATCACCCGCCTAGTACAGTTAGCAAGTGCGTCCGTAGCTATCAAGCTCCCAGACAAACATTGTAGTAAACGTTAAGATCCTCCCTCAACGAGTCTCCCCCAGTGCCCGTTTCGGACCCATTATACGGCACCGGATAAGCCGACATCCCAGCGTGGACAACCAGAGATGACAACAACAGAATCGTCTCTAAGCTAGAGTCAAAGACGGGCCTGTTAACTGTTATATACAACTCAAGCACAGTCCAGCAGTTCAATCCAAATGACAGAAAACACAAATATAAAACAAAGGAAATGGCAGACAGGAGGATCAACCTAATAAATATGCACGTCCCTGCACCGTTGCGACGAGTCAGCCCTTCTACGCATACGGAAGACCCCGGGTTAGCCATTGATATCCCAGATCGGGACCAAGCCACCGGATACGAGGCGGAGCCGGTGGGTTTGATATGCGTCGGGCACGTTCTGGCAGAAGCCAGGAGGGGACGAGACTATTGCTATGATGTATCTGGAAGGACTGGCAGGTGACAAATTGCGATCCTGCGCGATAGAGAGACTGATAGGCGCTGTTTATTGATCAGCGATGTAATGAGTCGGTAGAGTGTGAGTGGTTGTAGATAAGGATGTTTTCTCATTGACAACGGCATAAAATACTGTGCTTGGTCTGTATAAGAAGCCGTCATTCTTCGCGTGCTCGTGTTGGCAGGAGTATGTGCTGTCAATCTTGAATGTCTTCAGCAGTGTCTTACTCATTTTTATTATACAGTATCCTCGAGTCTCAAGTCTCGTCTCAAGTACACGAGACGAGTCTTATCTTGTGATTGATCAAGTATGTATCTTTGCTTATCAGTTGTTTGCATTGACCTGTCTTGGCTGGAATATGCCCGTACAGAAACGAAGTACTTATCTAGCCAAGAGCCGGCAATTTAGGCTTCGTGACCCTGCTTCTGTGCTACATGAAGACTTAGCTGAATGATGATCCCATCATTATGGTTTTTGCTCCTGTTTCGTACGGAGTACAGTAGACATTAATCTCTTTTACGGAATTGCAAAATTATACAGGATCAGATTTGAATACTCCAAATAGATATATGCGACTTAGTAATCTGCTAACGGTACACTCTGTTGTCTACTCTTTGTTATTCCCCTATACGAGGGTTGAAGTAGAGATAAGAATCTGTCCTCCGATTGGCCCGAGGCAAGCCATGTCACTGTCAATTTTAGGGTCTTGGCATATGCCTTAGGCATGAATTATATAAAATACGCTCCGGGGAAGCAGTCAATGCACATAGTTGATCATGATCTGCATATTAATGGTATCTTTAGCAATTAACGCTATCAGTGTCCTTTTATGACTTAACCTCGAGAGTTTCAAACAGATCATTAATACCATCATATCTAGAATGATACTAGCAAGCGCGAGCTAGTACTGACATAGCGAGACTAAACAATCCTAGCATCCCTAACCCCCGGAGCCTGAAACTCGCCCATCTAAACCCTGTACTAACACTCCCCCCTCTTATTGGAAAGACCCGACCCTCGACGTTAAATAGAGACACACACACACACTCCCCCCTCTTATTAACATCAACACGAACACTCGTCCGAAAACCATGGAAACAACTGCCTTCGAGTTTCCTCCGGTTTTCAAGAAACACAGAACCAGACCACCAAACCTCAGGGATTGAATTATCCTCAGTCCGCCATAGCAGCTCCACACTCTACAAGCTGGCCTCTCGGTCCCAGGGATACTGCGTGTCCATGATTGTTGCGGGTTGGATCTCCGGTTTTCGTTTGCGGAGGGGCGTATTGTGTAGGCTGGTAAGCCGCTGAGGGCTTCGATGAATGCTTCCCAGCTGGTTATGCGGGGGGCATGGGTGTAGCAGACGGGTTAGGGTGGGTGTTGCTAGGGTTGTTATAGGTGTGGATCATTGTGCCAATCTGGGAAGTTAATTTTGAGTACGGAGCTAGATTGATGGTGACTCATCAGTTTCGAGTGAGGGTGTAGCGAGACCTCCTTTCTGACTGGAGAGTTAGAAAGATGGCAGGGTAGATTGCAAAGACGTGGGATGGCGTTCCTCGCACATCGAACTCAGTAACGAAGCGTACAAGAAACAAGCGATGGGAAAGGATTATAGACTGAGCTCTCCTCAACAATCCCTGAAAAGAACCAGGTCTATTCTATCACAACTGAATAATGCGGCAAGTGGCCGTGAAGGTTAGCTTTGCAGATAAATAGGGTATTGCTATTTGCTAGCTATCATAGGATTGGTTACAACGCCATACTTAAGTTGCGGGTAATTTTAAAGCCTAATTCAGTCCACGACGCGCATAAGCCCTGGATTGAGAGCTGGCTGAACGGCATGGTTGTTCAGGGTCCTTTGACTCTTGTTGACAAGAAAGGTGTGTTGGGGCTAGTAATTAGGTCTCTTTGACTTTAATTTATATGTAAAGACGTTGATTTATTATTTCAGCAATTATGGATTCAGCGGTAGCTACACGTCTTCGCGAAAAGAGCCGGATCTTGCATCGAGCCTATAAGAATGACCCTTCCGAGGGCTGTCGTTCAGTCGACCTGAAGCGAATCAAGAAGGTGGCTTTGCGAATACCGTAATATTATGCTGAAAGGCGGCGTTGGGTCTGTACAGATTGTCATCATTGTAAAATGGACCCAGAATGCCGCGAAACAAGTTGCTGGCGATGTTGAACCATTCGATCTGGATACTTAAAATCAAGGAATCGCTCCAAATATATGCAAGGCTGACGATTGCTTGCTTTAACAGAGCATTTTTCTACCCCCAGGTTTGGTCTGAAGCATACTAGCCGGAACTGACGATCACCAAGGGTCAGCTATGGGGGCCTCTGCTTGCCGGCACAAGTGACGCATCTATCTCTTGGAATTAGCATTGATAAGCTACGCATGATTTCTGCAAGAAACATGCAAGCTTATGGATATAGCCCTGTTGTCTAGGTCAGTTATATTGGTATTTGTATGACTGGTGGTAGCCCGATACCGGACAAATACACCTCAGGTGGACATAGTAACCCAATGTTGACCACTCTAGTAATGGCTCATATTTCACACTTAGCCTTATACATTTGGGAAACATTCTTCCTTATAAATATATTCTGCAAAGCTATACTGCCGTAGTATGTATAGGTGTGGAAATGACAACCATCGGTACTCCTGTTGGCCGGAAAAGCTGCATTAACGGATTGAACTCGACATTGAGGGGCACCAGCTGGAGACACCGTTTGCCACCATGTTCGCTCAATACAGAGTGGGAAAGAGTACTTGTAGTTGTACGAGTAGTAGTTGTATATAGTAGTGTGATAGGCCGGCAAATGTTCCCCGGCTAGGCAGCGCCACACGTGCCTACGCTAAACCCGAATAGGAGATCGGCTGGGAGCTCCATCCAAGACTCCGTCTTCAAGTCTTCTGCTCACCTCCCCTCCTCCCCTCCTCCTCCCCCTATCACCAATGTCACCATGGAGCCTCCGTCAGGTCGAGAATTCCCGCCCATGGAGCATCCGGAGATCATCCATCCTGATATGGCCAACTCCGCGCCTCCAGACGACCTCCTGGAGCGCCACTATCCCGTAAGAACTACTTCCGACTACGCGGAGAACTACGATACCCCGATCCAGACAACACCCGTCCCCATCGCCTCCTCGCCGCCTCAATCCCATGGCCTCGCTCCGTGGGCAAACGCCCCCATAACCCGTCCACGGGGTTCCAGCATGGGCGCCCAAACGGCTCTCGAAAAGATGCCCCCCGTGGATGGCCACCCGCTGGCCGCCGAGCGACCGCAGCGTCCATCGGGTCCCGCCAGAACACCCTCGAACACCTACGCGCCCCAGCGTCGACCCCCCCAATACCACTCCTTCCAGGACGAGCGGCAGCGGTCGTCGTCAGCGAAGCGGAATTCGAGACGAGACGCCAATACACAGTACCGGGCCCAGGAGAAGGCATATGTGCAGCGCATTCGAGCGAATCCGCAGGCATGGTACGATCGATTCGACGAAGCACAGAATATGACGTCGATGGACTCGGATTTTGAGGAGCCGTCGCCGTCGTCGGAAGTCCCGTTCGAAGACGACGCGTACGACCCGGATATCCAACTTTTTATCGCCCGTGATAACCAGCCGTCGATCGATGAATTGAAGAATCCGAAAAATAAGGAGAGACTGGAATGGCATTCGATGTTGGCATCGGTTTTGAAGGGTGATGTTGTCAAGCAGGAGAAACAACGGCTTCTGGGGTTGACGGATACCAAGCGGTCTGCTGCTCAGAACAGTGCCATTTGGCTAGGTGTTAGAGCAAGGACCTGTGGGCGGAGTATTGCTCTCCAACGGAAGCTCATTGAAGAGGCACGAGCGGGTCTTGGGCCTCTAATTGAGGATATAATTAATTTCGAGATCAAAGGAGAAAAGGAAATCGGCAAACCGGCCATCAAGCAAGTGGAGGATGTTGTCCAACAAATTGAAAAAATGGAGATGATGTACTCCACTCAAAAGGAACTCGAGATAGCCAACCCCCGTGTCGCTTCCGAAGAATTCTGCTCGAGCCGCGACGCCGTGTTTGCATGGCACAACACCACAGCACTCATCAACACCGAGCTGGCCATCCTGCAAAAGTGGGTTGGGAACAACGAGCTCGATTTTGTCAAGGCCAGAGTCAGGCATCTTAATAATGATCTGGCCGATGACTCGTCTTTCCTCGATCGCATTATGAAGGAAGATGGGCTCAAAACGCTTCAAGGGAAGCACAACATGCTTCATGGCATCGGCGAAGTCATCCAGAAAGCCAAGAGCACCTTGATCGAGAATGCAAGTTCATTTGCTAAACGCCATCTACCCCCATACATCGAAGAACTTCTCACCCTTATCAACTTTCCCTCGCGTCTTATCCAGGAGATCATTCGAGTCCGACTTTCGTATGCCAGAAAGATGAAAGACCCCGCCCAGCAGTCTCCGATTCTTGTCGATCAAATGATCTCGCAATTTCAGATATTGATGAAGGTTGCAACCGACATTAAACAGCGCTACTTGGATATCTCCAGACCCGAGCCGGGCTGGGAATTGCCTCCGTGCATCGATGAGAATTTCGACACTGTCGTGTTGGATGCTATGAAATACTACTTCCGACTTCTGAACTGGAAATTGAATGCGAACAAGAACACATTCAAGGAAGCGGAAATTCTCGAGCAGGATTGGGAGTTCTCGAATGAAGTCGGTCGTTTACTGGAGGGTGGAGATATCGAGGTGGCCGAACAATTCAGGTACGATTCTCCCACAAGACTCATGTTATTGCTTAACTAACATTTCCAGTGCCTTGACTGCAAAATCGCTTCAACGACTGATGATCCACTTCGAACGAGAAATCACCGTCCGAGAGGATGAAGACCCGCTTGAAATGGACAAACGTTATAAGAGTGTCCTGGATTCAACACGAATTCGTCAGCGCAAGCTTTACCGTTTCTCCCGGTTCTTGCGTCAGCTCTTTGAGAATGCCACCGAGTACAATGTGTCTTCTGAAGTGGCATATGACTTCTTCGAGGCTCTCCTCGCATCGAACCACTTTCTGGTCAAGTCAGACTCTGGCCCCAAAGGCATCTACATGTTTGCCCACCATGCGTTATGGGGCCGTCCGGTTGATATCCAGGCTATTATGGCCACTTCATTCCGTGAAGAAGATTCCACGAAAGACTCACCTGCTACGCCCTACATTTTGGTGGTCCGTCCGGAGAAGCCTATTACCTGGACTGGACGGGAAATGGAAGTGGAGATGCTGGAACAACCCGCAGACGTGCGACTAGGCAAGCTTCGTCTTATTGTTGAAGGAACGCAGCAACGCCTTTCCAACGCTAGACTCGAATTGGCGCAACTGACCGGAGTTCAGCTCGACATGGCTGTTGAGCAGCGTGCTAACCTGGCACGTGTCAATGTTGAATTGAATAAGATCAAGAAGATCTCATTCAAGTTGTCCATGACAATCATGGATAGTGTGGCCATTATCCGGCAGCAGCTGAAGGAGAAACGTGTAGAAAACCAAGAGCTTATCCAAGCCTGTTATGCTTTCGCAACGGAGTTCGGTAAACGATCATCAAACTACGTGGATGCCAACAGACATGCAATGAACAGTGCTCGACTCGTGGAGTTGTCTCTTGACTGGGTCTCGTTCATTTGTGATGATTGTGATGCCGCTGATAGAAAAACATTCAAGTGGGCTGTGGCTGCACTTGAATTCGCAATGGCAATTACTTCTAGCAGACATCTCATTTCCATGGACGATGCCCAGTTCGGTCACTTGAGATTGAAGGTCGCCGGTTGCATGTCGCTCCTCATTTCTCACTTTGATATCATGGGAGCCCGATCCTCCCTTGCCGCCCAGGCTGAGAAGAAACGGATAGAAGAGCGCGTTGGAAGAGGAAAGTTTGGTGGTGGTCGGATACTAACGGATGACGAGGCCACCAAATTAGTCCGTGAACAACGTCTGGCTCACTTGACCGCTCTCGAAGACTCCCGTGTCGAAGAAGATGCGAAGCGCCAAGCACTAGGAAAAGTTTTGGAGGGATCCAACGAAGCAGACCGGTCACTCACCGTGCTTTCCTCATCAGCCACCAATGTCACTCTGCGGTGGCAGCAAGGTCAGTTCATTGGAGGCGGTACCTTCGGTTCAGTCTACGCTGCCATTAACCTTGACAGCAACTATCTTATGGCCGTCAAAGAAATCCGTCTACAAGACCCACAGCTCATTCCCAAGATCGCCCAACAAATCCGCGACGAAATGGGCGTCCTAGAAGTTCTCGACCACCCCAACATCGTCTCCTACCACGGCATTGAAGTCCACCGCGACAAGGTCTACATGTTCATGGAATACTGTTCCGGCGGCTCCCTCGCCAGCCTCCTCGAACACGGCCGCGTCGAAGACGAAACCGTCATAATGGTCTACGCTCTCCAACTCCTCGAAGGTCTCGCCTACCTCCACCAAGCCGGCATTGTCCATCGTGACATCAAACCCGAAAACATCCTCCTCGACCACAACGGCATCATTAAATACGTCGACTTTGGCGCCTCCAAGATCATCGCTCGCCAGGGCAAAACCGCCGTCCCTATGGATGCTTTCAACGCCGTAGGCCACAAAGAAGCCCTCGTCCCGCGCGATGCACAGTACACGCACCAACGCAAGAACCAGAAAACCATGACCGGCACGCCAATGTACATGTCCCCCGAAGTCATCCGCGGAGACGCCTCAAACTTCGTCCACCGCCAAGGTGCGGTCGACATCTGGTCGTTGGGTTGCGTGATTCTCGAAATGGCCACGGGCCGTCGTCCCTGGTCCTCGCTTGACAACGAATGGGCTATCATGTACAACATCGCGCAGGGCAACCAGCCCACTTTGCCGCCGCGAGATCAACTCAGCGACCCCGGCATCGACTTCCTACGCCGCTGCTTTGAGTGCGATCAAATGAAGCGGCCTACTGCTGCGGAGTTACTGCAGCATGAGTGGATTGTCTCGATTAGGCAGCAGGTTGTGCTTGAGCCGGCGATGCCGGGGAGTGAGAATGGGGGGAGTATGAGTGGGAGTGCTAGTTCGGCGTCGGGGAGTCGGAATAATTCGTTTTATATGTGATTCTTTTTCTCTTCCTTCCTCATTTCTTTGATAATTACCCTCCATATTTTTCTCACATTCTCCATCTATCATCCGTTCTATCTTCTCGAAAAGCCATGGCAACAGCGAGAGATTGCATATCATGATACCCCTACTTCACACGACCTATCCACTTACCTGTTTTCACTTCCTTTCTATTGTACATATTCACACTTTCTATTGTTTGTATTTTCTTGTTACGATACACGGTTGCTCGAGCATACGGAGAGCTTCGTTCTGGGGTTTGGCTTTGGAGATTAACGTATACATACAAATTCGGGTTTCTCAATTTCTTGAAGCTTGCTCCATTTTAGCGCTCAGTTCTCACTGGGCAGATCTCACGCTGAGCTGGTAGATGAGTAACTCGAGTAAGATAGCCCTAATAAAATGCAATTCTTTACCCCCTTCCTTCACCCAAGTGCTGGCACCATCAATTTGACAGTTACTCATGACCACATTCCTTCTACCCCGCTCGCGAAGCAAATACCGATTTGGGAACCGACCACAATTAAGGCCCGTAGCTTGAATAAGACGGTAGGGTATAGATGGGGTGTTGTAGACTAGAGCTCTTGAGGGGATGGTTGTTTTGGTATGCACTTTGGGCTAGACAGGTCCACTATGCTGTTCTTTCGCGCATAAAAAATTGATTTTCTATACGCCTTGAGGCTTGCATTTAACCTTCAGTAAAGTAGTCTCAATCAACCACGCTAGTATGTCAACCCATATCTGCATCTGCTATCCGTTATATTACTTCTGACCACTGTCCGTTATTACCTCCCTTCCTCATCAATCATAAACATGATTAAATAGTAACAATAAAGTCCAAGCATAGAAGTGAGGAGTTCATGATTATACATTACTTTGCATATCGGTTTCATATCTGGCTCCAGAGTTCAGGATATCGTCACATCGCCACCGATACTCTATACAGACTCCATCGCGCCGCTGGCTTCAGGGGCGGGCTGGGCAGGTTGGGCAGGCTCCTGGGCCTGGGCCTTTGGGTTGGTCCGCATGTGTGCTTGCACACTACTCCGGATAGCTCTGACGGCAGTTACCGCAAACAAGGCACTGTTAGAAATATGAGTTAGCTCTATATTCAACCTGTACAGTTCACTGTATAGGATGCAGCTCAACCATATCCCTCCAATGCACGGAAAGGAAATACATACCACTCAACAGCCGCAATAACAACAACCGCCAGTGTTGCCTCACAACCCGCCGACTTGCACTCCGAAGCCGAAGGCAAGTCAATTCCAAGCAGAATAACCCCCACCAACCATAAAATCATAGTACTCGTTTCCAGCACAGGCACAAGAACCCGGTGCGAGAATTTAGCAAAGTGCACGGGTGCCAGGGCGAGGTAGGGTGTTGCGAAGAAGCCGGTCCATATTCCGTTGAAAAGCATAAATTCGGAAATGCTGTCGTATTTGTAGACGCTGAGGACTGTGGATTGTTAGCAGATGTGTGAATTTATTGGGTGATTGGGATTGATCGGGAAAGGGGAACGAACCGTAGATTATGAGGCCGAAGACGGCGATGCCGAAGAGGACTTGGACAGCCCGGACTGGGTGTATCCAGGTAATTCTGGAGGCCATTATCGATCGCCGGGGACTCGCCGTTACTCGTTGGTTATCTGCCTAGGAGTCTTCGGGTGATATTTCGTTCTGAAGTTGGCATGTATATCTAGTTTGTGGGGGAAAGAAAAATTGTAAAATGTCAATCCACATATACGGGAACATCAATATCTTAAACCACAATCCCTGAGGCTAGTTACGTGGGCCCACCATGTTTAAGCTCAGCATGGAGTATCACATGCAAATGTCCGAAGCCCTGCTGATCTGCATGGGAAATCATACGCAGTGTAATATAGATGTAATTGCCATAGAAGGTTATCATTAAAGCGAAGCAGTAGTCTAGTGATGCGAGAATCAGGTTAGCTCGCAATGTCTTCCTAACAAAGTAACAGCATTGACGAGATTTTGCTGTCATAGCAGTCCATTCGTTGATGAATAGAGAAAGATCTGCACCGAGTCTGTGAAGCCTCGGTACTTTGGAGACTTTAGACTTTTAAGTTGAAATTGACGCCGATCATTTCAACCGGAATGCGGCCAGAGTGCCTGAACTACTCCGGAGTGTATTATTGCACCGGGGCTGCAGCCGTCTGGCTGGCTAAGGTATCGCCGCGGCTCTGATCAACATGAACCCTGGCCGAATCTATCTGTCGGGAGCAAGAACTACCTGGGTGTATACTGATACCAGCACAGCAACTATAGTTTTCGTATTGGCAAAGCCGAGATATCACGACCAGGACGTATCTAGTAGGCTATTTGTGTTCTTGCTAAGGGATATCTACCGCTGGAGTAGGGCAAATTTATACAAACCTAATAACAAACAATGTGTTCAACAGTCAATCCTGCCTATACAGCACCCCCGTACGTTTTGCCAGTAGCTTAGATGTCAATGTCGCTACTGCTATCTGTTGATGAGAAATGCTGATTAGAAATCTCCTCATCACCTTGGTCCGCCCACCCATCATCGGCCCAGTCCCATTTACCATCATCATTTAGAATCATTTTGGCTCCAGTAATGCAATTTTTAGCTACCGTCTCTAACGACTGGTTCTTATGATACAGGATCCTGAACAATTTTAGGTTTGGGCTTAGCTAAATCCCGTGGAGAAACGGTCTGTTTCCATAAGGCTGAGATTGATAATGATTTTCTGTCTTGGAGGATAAGCCACGATCCTTGTGCTGCTCCGTGTCAAAGATCTGAGGACAGATCCTGTGCATTCGCAGCCGCACAGATCGCAGATGGGAGATCTTGAGCGCCAGCTGAGGACAGACTTGTACTTCATTCTTGAAATCAAAGCCGCACGTGTCAATTTCAAGATCCAGAAGCTTGGAAACCCAGAGATCATCCAATAGTCTCGCCGGAGATCACATTGAGAGGTAATGGTGACGGAGAGCTAGAGGATGTGCTGGATCGCACTGACTGCGTGCACGCAATGTGAAAGATGTCAGGCGGTAGCATTGGCGCATCAACAGACTGAGCATTTGATTGAATCCATTGCCCTCAACCTCGTCGACAGGCCAACTCCTGGCACTATGCACACTAATGGTGAGCCGCCGTACAAACACCCTGAATTTTGCATGCGCTTGCTCAGGTAATTGTGTAAACCGGTTGGAGCTGAGAAGGAGGCTCTCTAGCAGTATAGGTTCGGCAAGCTCATACCACCGCTTGCAGACAAGTAAGCAGAGTTTATCATTGCCTACAAAACGAAGGATTGTAGTATTTCAATCGGAAGGCTTTGCAGTGGCATTTCCTACAATAAAGCGTTGCCCCATACAACTAAATATAACAAGCTGTGGCTCGGTGTGTGGTTGGGAGATAAGTTTCTGAGCCAGAACTCGTCTTGGGCATCCGATCCCGGCTGCTGCCCTGCCGTCTAAGACATGCGTGATACAGGATTCAGATGACTTTAGATATGGCTGTCTGTTTTACACAACAACTCAGCGAAATGACAGTGAGAAACTCGAAGACCATCTGGATAAAACACCTTTTTAGGCGGAGCTCTACAAGTCACAAAGCCAGAGAAATGTCTAATGGCATTAAAGCGCCAGTAAAAGTTGATAAACGAGAGGGCATCTTTGTTCCGCCTAGCAATTCTACAATTACCGCTCCGCGTCGCTTTTCCGGAAAAGGAATTGCTGTTTCCAGTGTTGCAGGTAAAAGACTCGCTTCTGTCAAGGCGAGGATAATTGACACTGGCAGTAATACCAACATACGAAGAGCAAGCAGGAGAATTACTGCCAAGAATTCTGCGCTAGCACGATTATTTCTGGGTGGACTTAGTTCCTTTGAAAAAAATATGCGATGACCATTCCACGAAATCCAGCAATTGATAATACACCAGGACCCGAAATATCCCGTAGATAGATGCGGGTGCCGCTAAACTGCTCCAGTTCCTTGTATCTGCTTGTATAAACAAGAACCGGAGCGGGAGCCGAACAGCTGAGATTGTAGCACAAGTCCAGATTAGATGAAATTCGCTCAAGAGGACAGAAGAAATGGCATATGCTAAGGGATTCAGCAATTTATGCCTGAAGACTGTTGTTCCCGGAATAACTTCGACCGTATAACGGGCTGACTCGGAGATGACGACCGTCCCGAGTTCTCTAGAGAAGAGACACGCCTTCGTTACGGTATATGAGGTGAACAGCATGAAAGATGTGTCGGAAAATCAGCTGTCGTTTGCTGTCTCAAAAATCTGTCCGAGATAACCTCGACCTGCTCTGGAGCTCTCAAGAATTAAATCATTGCTACTGAATGACCAAGGATGTAGCGGACCTGGCTCCGAAGCGGCTTGTATCAGCCGAATCCCCTGTGAATGTTTGACTTCGTAGCCGTACGCCAAGGGGTCTGTAAGAATAGGACTACATGCAGATGGTCACGACAGGCCTTCAAGCAAGGCTCATAGTTGCCAGTAAGCATGATATTATATAAGTAGACATACAAGGGTATTTATAGATATGGTAGCCTGCATATCGCTTGGTAGTGATGGCTCGGAGTAAATGAAACAACCCTTCCAAGACTTGCCCCTAGTCTTCACTCACAGCTGCCGGAACTGGTGCTTCGTGGTAGTGACACGGTTCAGGTCGCTATAGATTATCTTTGAGGGGTCTGGGGGATCGATAGGAGCTTCTCATATAACCATTTGGGTTCCCCCTGCATATTGCAAACTGCTTGCAGGTAACCCAGTGTCGTTCTTCACCCTCGCCTCCATCTATCTGGATAAAGAGTATTCTGCTTACTCGCCCATTGGGCTTTCATATTGCTCTGACAGGACCAGCTATTTCATTGGAATGTGCCATTCTGATTCATGCGTTCGAATTCGGTCTTAGCCATTCGGTCGGTAGGAGACGCTACCACGGTTCCACGATCGTCCGACTGAACCTGTAACGGTGAGCGTGTGGAAAGCGGAAAGTGGGATTCGATATTATTTCACGGCTTGATTTTAGCCTGGAGATAAATAGACAACTGTACTCCTATCTAATCTAGAGAGCCCAGAGACGAGAATATCGAAATCATATCTGGAGAGAAGAAACCGTATGACAGGAGACCATTTACTAGATGCGCGAGGGCCAGGGCTCCATCGTCTGTCCATTGTCAGTGTGTCCATTTAGATTTAGGCCATTAATTGTTAATAGTAACAGTTATTATGTGCTTTCTATATCTGTACATTGCTGGGAAGCGGTTTTTTTTTTTTTTTTTTTTTTTTTTTTTTTTTTTTTTTTTTTTTTTTTTTTTTTTTTTGGAACAGTAAGCAGTAAACGACATGGTGCTTTTCACATACAAGGCAACAGATGGGCTCAAACTCAAAGGTTCCAAGACTGAACTGCAGGCGCTGGCATCCCGCCAGTGGGCACAGCAATTGTCTCATATTATGCAGTGTAGATGAGCCAAATGGTGTTCAACATATCTGGGATCAAACATTGCTAGCACAAGACCAGCTGCTGGAGCTGGAGTCTTCATGAATCGCCACGCCAGACACATAGAGACCCAAACCGCACTGAACGAGTAGTATAAATCAGCAATAGGAAAAGAGTTTAATGGGAGAGAGGATGGAGTCAAAATGTCATAGCACGAGTATACTCACAATAGCACAGGAAATGGCCAAGACACCAAGGTTGACTACCGTCAAAAACGTCTTTGCCGTATTCCGGAAGTATTGGCCGTAGTTCATGTGCAACCAGAAAATGGCAGGAAATCCGACTGTTCAGTCAAAGTTAGGATCAATCATTATATTCAGTGGGTGGACCTTACAGCTGAACCAGCTTCCGAATAGTGCACTCTGTAGGGGTTATTTGCATTAGCATGCACTGGCGATTTAAATAAAAGGTTTGACAGGGTTCGAACATACAATAAGACTGAGCAAATCATTGAACACGGGGATTGATTCTGCCACGACCCAGGATACCACCCAAACGCCGAGGCAAATGGCAACCCATGATCCGATAGACAGAAAACTCCGCTGGTGCATTTTGTCGGACCCACGAAACATGCGCACGTAGATGTATTTGCATGCAACGTGTCCCAGGACAACTCCTGAGAGAATGGTCTATTCCCGATTAGCATGAGATGTATCGCTGGGTAAAGGGGGGAAATCTTAGTTACCGTTGGAATAGCGAGGCCCCAGGCAATCTTGCTCATGAGAGTACCTAGGGAGTTGATGGCGGGTGACTGGACGCTAGGTCCCGCGTAGCGATAAATGATCAACGCGCTCACTAGATACAAAACCGTATCGATGATTTGAAGCATTGCAAGCGACTTGTTGAAGGTTCGCGGGTCCTCTGTCTCGGACATGAAGCCAAAGTATGCAACATGGGCAACTATTCTCGGATTAGCTGGACGTTCCGGCAATAGTCCGGGTTGATCCCACGCACGATAAGCAAAAATGATGTTTGTCACGGCCAAGAATCCCTCGCGGAAGCTCACGTCCGTCGTAGCTTGAATTGGGACGTGGCCCTTGCTTTCCACCCCCATGGCAATCATGGCAATAATCACAACAACGAAGATGCTCAGGAATGCTTAACATAAGTCAGTAGGCCAGTCTTTGTGCCAAAGGAAGCCTGTACCCACAAGCAACAGACATCCAATAGACCTTTTCCATGGTCCGCGGCAAGGCGCCCAGAAAGCAGATGACCAGTCCGACAACACCAAACACCAATGTGCAGGTGCCGTGGTCTGTCAAGACGTTCATCAGGATATTAAACGTCACGATGTTACTCGCCATGAGAAAAATCAACAACAGGAGCTGGCCGATTCCCAGAAATTCGCGACCGAAGCGGCCCATCAAGAGCTCGCCAGCATCTCCCATGCTGTGGATCTCGGGATGACGGAGTTTGAATTGACCAATGACATATCCAGTGTACCATGAAAGGGCAGATATGAACACAATCATGATTGCAGCGCTGTATTTAACGTCAGCGGTCTGAGAGACTGTCTACATGGACAACACATACGGTACCATCCCGAGGGTTGCCACGGCGGACGGGAGAGAAAGAATTCCCACCGAGACATTCTCCGAAATCATAACTGACAGCTCCGTTAGATTATCAAGTCCAGAGCTGAATCACACAGAATTGATAGAACTGGGGACTCACGCATTCCACAGTGCCTACAGATTTAGGGACTGTGTCAGATATTCAACGCAACGGATTGCGTTTTCCGAAAAGATTGGTCACTTACCACCACTTCATGGTCCGATACTTGACCTCTGCTGTCTCCTCGTTGCCAAAAGGTTCCAATTCCTTTTTTGAGGGTGGCTTTTCTCCATCTTCCAGGGACGGCGCGTCAATCACCGGCTTCTTATCCACTGCATATGTTTCTTCGTTCATGGTGAGTGATTCCAAGATCTCGGCCCTGGTTCATATGAAATATCCGGTGAAATCCAGTCCAATTGAGAGAATTCACGCAACTTTGCCAATATTGAACATCTCAAGTCTGCTGCCAAGAACCAAATTTTAAGCTCTGCAGAAATGCAACACAAGCAATCGGGAGAAATTCGGGCCGCTAGTATCTCGGTGAATTTTCCCTCACATTGGCTCCCTTTCCGAATGGTGGGCCCGGAGAAGTTCCTCCTCCCCCCACGGGCCACACCCGCAATATTGTTTTCCACAAACGAAGTAGCTTCTCAGCGAGAATATTAAATCTGGGGAGAGGACTGGGGCTCCGTTATGTGCTCATGTTGGTCTTTTGCCGGTGTTTGCAAGGGTTGACCGCCACCCGAGGATTGTATCATGAGCCAAGGTGGTATAATCTATGTACAAGGACTGATCGCCAACTCAACGCCTTCATAAAACCTGAGCGATGTCAAGTCTTCTGAATGCCTAACCCTGACGTTCAGACAACCCCCATCCCGTCAGACACTGGTGCAAGCGCACCGATTGAGCCCTTGGCTGCTTCTGTTGGTTCTGCTTCCACGACCACGCCGAGCATAGTACTTTCCAGATGAGGCATTAAGACCTGGCGGACTTTGGCTAGCGCCGGAAGATCCGAGACTAGACCAGGGGTCGATTTCCTGCGACCTGAATGATCTTGAGTGATTTGAGTGAGCTGGGTGACAGATCAATGAGAGATGGTTGAACATAGCCATGTCCAGTTTTCGACTTGGTACCTGGAAGTCTCACAAGGTTTGCATGTCGCAACCTAGTCAGTCAGTCCTTTACAATTGTATGTTGGTGCTGCCACAGTGTGAGTAACTGAACATGCAGGGTTCTTGATTCCGGTGAGATGCCAGCCCTGATATCTTCTGTTCTCATACACTTTCCTAAATTCCGAACGTCGATGATGCGAACAGCTGGGAAATGAAACAGGGATGTTGCAAAGTCCCGAATCAATCTATAAATCTCCATGAGCATCTCTCAACTTGGCGATTACGAGAAAAGGAAATGGAAAAGCCTGGTGGGATGGTCGTTGATGCAGGGCTGCTCGGTCCAAAATCTTTAACATCACATCACATGGGTTACTAAGAATAAATGTGATACTTCTCAGGTTGCACAAGCGAGTGAACAACACGCCTAGCGAGGCAGCCGTGCATGGATGTTTGAAACGTAGTTGATATCCAAATTTCTCATCCTCGGTGTCAAATATTACATTCAATATTTCCATTAATACCGAATCGGAATCTTCATCATTGTAACCTTTAATCAAGTGAGAATCACCATCACAATCGCCTCTAATGTTCTGCATGCCGGACATGATGAGCCAAGTCAGGACGATGCCACAGATGCTGAACGAGAGCGATAGATGAATAATTAATAGAGGAGAGGCTCAAACAGGCACTGGAATTGATGGGGACAATTGCTCAAAGCTTGCTTTGTAGGTTGGTTATTATCTGATCAACTCGAACAGCCCGCTGGGTAAACGGTCCATTTCGCGACTGAAATTTCCCCTTAACAAATATAAAGCGGCTATGGTTGTGTATTATATATGCACATATTTTAGATATACGCCCTCAACCAGGCAACAACCTGTATTTGCGGGTGATGTGTGATGCTGTACTATTCCCCTGAAGTGACGGGTATCACTGGTAAACATATATTGCAAGAGTATGTGGCTTACATCCACTATAAAAACCCATCATTAACAGATTCTAAAAACCACTCAAGCTCATCTGTGCCCCCCAGTCCGCCCATAAATGCGACATGCTGATCAAGCCGGAGAAGTACAATACAGCCTTGCGGTGAAAACCCGTAATTGCAGTATGCTTTCCCACCACCAACATGATGTGACTCGCTATCAGCAAAACTTTCCCATAACCATTTCCAGTATCCTCATCCAGAGGCCGGAGAATCTCCGGTAGATTCCATATGTCGACCTCTGTTCGAGATGCCGAAGGAACTATAGATCGAGAGAGCGCCTACTAAGATGTTCGGCTGTCCTCGATATCCAATCTTCTGGACGACGTATTTTGGAGAAAATAGAATTGTCGCAAGGTTTTTGACCTGGTGCTTTTGAAACTCATCTATGATGTTTCCGCTGAAAACGAGAAAATTCCATTCTCTGGTACTCGGGAAGATCTGCTGCAGTTGATACAGACAATCATCAAGCAGGCGGAGTAGAACTATCTTTGGACGAGGAAACAGGGACGCAGACATGTCAGCAGGTTGGTACATACCATGTTATCAATGGCAAGTTTCTTGGATTGGGAGCGTGGAAGGCTGTCGTATCAGATCAGAAAGCGTGCAACATGGCAACCGGACAAGCCTGGACATTGGAAAGTATGGCCACTTCGCATGAATAAATGTGCTTGACGACTACGGGCATAATGGCACCCCCAATTTGGATATAGAAGACCTTATCAATGCCATAGTTCTCTGTATTATCTCAGTCCATCCTTCGGTGCCATAACAGGAGCATAAGGGCTTGAAAGTAAGATGGCTTGAACAAACTACTCATACAAACTACTCATACAGTTACCAAATGGTTTTGAAGTCTACTGAGAAATATAGATGAGTATTGCTGTCTAGATAATCTAAAACAGTTGACCAAAGTTAGATTCAGCTGAGAACGAAGACTGAGCAGGGTAAATTTGTTGCCGGAGGATAAATAACAGCCCGTTACCTACATTCTACCGCATATGGACGTATGATGGCATATTATCTATAGTTATATATGTACAAATATCCCATCATTCTATCGCCTCCCTTGCCTGTTGTAATTCCTCTTCACTCGGCATATTCACAATCATCAAATATACCACTTTCTACGTCACCAATTAGCACCTATTCATCTTGAAGACACGAATGGATAAAACTCACCTTCTTTAACTTGTTCGCCACCTTATTCAGTTCCTCTGAAACACCTTCCTTTGGTCTCGTCTCCCCATCACCCGTAGTACTGGATTCTGTCTCCGGATAGCGTTCATCCGCCAGCTCTCCCTGTGAGACCCTTTTCTCTTTACGTTTCACATACGCTTTCTTGCCTTGATTATATGCGAACCCAGCAGCGGTATACTTGAAGATTTGTTTCTCCGTAAGACGGCCTCCGGTGAGAAGCGCAACGGGGGAGCCTTCACTGGCTGGGTGATTGGGGTCTGCGTAGCGCGAGGTGAATTCCGGCTCGGGGCCTTGAACCAAAGCACTGTCGGGATCTTCTGCATTCTGTATCATTTGTAGTCAGTACATAACATGGTATGGTACGGTGTGTGGATCAGACTGTACAAATCTCGCTTGTGCCCTCTTGTCCCGGTACCCTGCGGCAAACTCGATCTTTCTCCTCGCCTTCTCCTTCATAGTATCATGTTTCTTCTTTGTCTCAGGATCTATATTTATCTTGTCCAGAGCGGGGAACTCGAGCGGTGCAATCTCAGGAATGAATGGTGACTCTGCGTTGGCCTTTTGGAACTTATGTTTGAGCTTTTCAAAATTTCCCGCCCCTCCCCTTGCCATGACAGAATCAACAGTCTGATTCATGTTGAAGGTGACGTATGGATCATCGATTTCCGGATTCCAGGTCATGACGAGGCAGAAAAGACCACGGGGGATGAAGAAGTCGCGATTCGCCGTGTCGAAGAAGTTATTCGACTTCCGTCGCCCATCCATTGCGATGGTCGTTTTGATGGCGAGTTGGAGCACCACAGAGATGGCCATCCCTATCCCCGGTGAGCCTAGGGGGATAGCCGCTAGTGTGGCAAAATTGAGCATCCCCAGCGCCTCGCATCCCCGGCACGATTGATTCGCCCGGTCAACGAAATCGAGGAACATGTCCTGGTCGATTCCGAAGGCGTTCAGGTCTGGTGCGTAGGCGCGCACAAAGCCTCTGGATCGAGTTCGAGGCCGACGCTGGGGCAAAACAACTGGATATGGCAGGAAGGGTCTTTCATATGAGGGGGGGAGAGGGAATTGCTGGGCAAATGTTTCTGCAAGATGGGCGTGATCGATGGGCTCATTAGTCGGTGGTGATTGCTGTGCTGTTCCAAGCAGTCGGTCTTGGGCCTCGTCAAGGTCCCATTGTCGTTCGTGATCATGTTGGACTTCATCTACCTCGCTATTGTCCCTTTCTCTCTCCTCTCTGTCTTGATCGAGATCTGCATCTTGCTGTTGATCGCTCTCAGCCTTGTGGGTTTTCTTGGCCGTGATACTTTCAGACACCAGGCCAACTGTGGCACCGACGGCGTTGAAAACTTTCTTACGGGCATAAAAAAACATGATTTTCCAACTGAGTCTGAATATGAAGGTAGAATCAGCAGGGAGGATTCAGGCGGGGAGGATTGAGGGGATGAGGGGCCTACTATTTATATCCGTTTCAGTTTTCAACGACTTATTGCCTGGAATAAGCCTTGCACATCATCACTAACTTTAGCTTAGCATGATCCTTTACCAACTCATCCAACAAAAGCTTGTCGTACTCATTGGATAGAAGCTTCCGATTCAGCCACGCAAAAGTCGCCGGTGAGCAAAGTCGCCGTCGCAGCATTATCCCACCACAATCACTTGTATAGGATACAATATAACCAGACTGCATTCTTCGCCGTATGCATATGTCCATGCAGCATCACAATAACAACTATGGCACAGCCGAAGCGCCTTCTTGTCATTGTCGCAGGTGGGGGATATACCAACGCAGGTATGTTAAATATAATCCAACCAAATTGAGCTGAAACTGATTCCGTCTAGCTCCTCTTCTCGAATTGTCTTCCATTCTAGCAAATCGTGGCTACATGATTGACTTCGCAACCCTCGCTGGACGGCAGCAATGGTTGTCGAATTGCCCTTTTGTCTCGCGGCTTCATATCGTCGGACCTGCCATTCCTAAAGAGCACGAAGAAGAAAGCTATGAACGGATGTCCCAATGGGCAACTAATTCGATATGCAACTGGAGTACTGTATTTGCTGCCAAAAAGTACCTCGAATCCTCATGGCACTATGTATATCACGACCTCACCCAGTTGGTGCTTGACCCAGCCACTCGACCAGACTTCATCCTGGCAGACTACTTGGTAGATGCAGTCCGAGACGTCTGTTTCGAGCATGACGTTCCATTCGCAATGCATTGGCCTCAGATGCCGACTGGTATGATGCATGCTTCGTATATCCCCGGCATCCCGGGTCTCCAGGTCGAAGTCCTGACGTCCGAGTTCGCAACTCTATGGCAGCGTTTGAGAAATGCCGTCCGCATCTACACAGCCTTACCAAACTTGCTTGAATATCAGCACTGGGTAAAGCAGATGCGGCAGTCGGCTGGCGTATTTCGACAACTTCCCCTTCTTCCAAGGCCCGACTATCTCTGTCTGGTGAACTCCTTCTTCGCCCTCGAGGCAGCCAAAGAAATACCTCCCAATGTTGCAGCCATCGGGCCTGTTCTTGCCGACAATGTTGACAAGCTCACCGGGCCATTTTCTTCATTTCTCAAATCCCGTTCCCGTGTTCTTTATATTGCGTTAGGCACGCACGTCTTGTTCCCTCACAGGGTACTAGCCGATCTACTATCTGGGACAATCACCGCTCTCCGAGCTGGCATAATCGATGGTATTATCTGGGCCGTGAGTCCTAAAGCTCGCAGGAAACTGGACACCTCCGCCCTTCTCCCCTCACCAACCTACTCTGGAAACGAAATCACCCTCAGCAGCCTCCTAGAGAACAAGCACCCATCCATCTTAACTGCCAAATTTGCTCCTCAGCGTCCAATCCTACATGATCCCCGAGTCGCTGTGTTTATCAGCCACGCAGGAGCATCATCAACCAACGAAGCCGTTGTGGCCGGTATCCCAGTCATCACCTTACCAGCCTACTTTGACCAAATCCAGAATGCAATGCGCTTACGAGACGCAGGGGTCTCGGTCCCACTGCAAAAGGAGACCCTGAGTGCGTCCGATGTCACAGCTGCCATCACTCGCATACTCGATGACATTCGCAGCGATGGTCCGGTCATGGCTAATGTTCGTCGTGTGTGTGGGATCGCGCGCATTGCCACACACCGAAAGTATTTGGCCGTGGACTTGATCGAGGAGGTTTTGATCGATTGGCAAGGACGCCAACGTGAGCGTCAGTTGGGAGTGGAACGGCCTCGGGGAATGCACTTGGAGACTGCAGAGGCACGAATGCCGAGGTGGAAGGCGAGGAATTGGGACCTTTTCGGGTTTATGGTGGCACCTGTTTTATTGGTTGCTGCGATTACCATGACTCTTTTTTTCTGAATTAGGAATCGATATTGTTCTATTAGAATGAACATAGTCACTGGTGTACTTTTGGGGCCTGATTTTCGAGTAGAATGTATTCCAAGGGAGAGCATTTAGTTCATCGAGTAGGCCTAAGGTTAGCAATTGTCCTTGTAAAACGAGGACCTGTGAATTCCCTGTTCCGGTTAGTTTTGCCGTTTCTGCTATAGCCTCCCGATACGCCGTACTGTAAACGCTGCCCGCCTGGCCTCCCAATATAAAAGAGCCCTCCCTCAACTGTTCTGACTTCGTCTCCTCCCAAATCTTTTTCTCTTGCCAAACTCCCTCCCATATTCTGCATAACGCTGACTTCACACCTCGCTTTGAGCAATACGGGCAATGTTTGGTTAATCCTGCCATTGGCTGGGCATAGTGACTGTAGGACGACCGTGCTGTAGTGGATTTTGGCGTCAAAGTATAGTTTATCGTCCCACATCCATTCATGCTGTCCTTGTAATGCCGGAAGCATATCAGGCTTATCCTTGTCTTTGCAAAAGCAGCATCAGCGCCTTGGGGCAGATTGAGATTTCGAAATCAGTGTAGTCCTGTTGGAAATTGTCATGCTCATACTTTCAGCGATATAAATCTCAGGGTGTAGCGCGTTCCGCATGATGTATTTACAAGGCATCTTGAGCAGCACTGGGCTAGCCACGCCGGTCATATGTCGACAACTGTAGGAAATACTTGGTGCCTAAGGCAGAAAGCATCCGCGCTAGCTGGATTAGTAATCAGATATAAACAGATGCTCGGATGCCACTGATAAGGATTGATCGGATAAATGGTTGGCCCGAGTAGCGAGGCCAGGAGATACTTATAGTCGGCGTGTGCACACATATTGTAGATTAAGCACTCAATCAGCTGTGTACGCGCACGTACGTTCGTTAGACAATATACATATTCCGTCAAGTTAGTCCTCTCCATATAGGCCTCGTTAGTCCGGAATAATCAACTCCCGATTTCCCTTTTGAGCTACGATCCGAGAGACCCCGCTTCAGCCACATCGTGACTCCTGTCATGCGTTGTGTCATGCATGGTGTCCTAACAGCGGGTCATCCACTAGCTCTTTGGAGACAGATTTACCGCTAGCTATGCAGGACGATATTGCTGAATTACGACGTCAACTGGAGGAAGAGAGACGGGCCAGAGAAGAGGCAGAACGACGCCAGGAAGAAGAGAGATGGGCAAGAGAAGAGGCAGAACGACGCCAGGAAGAAGAGAGATGGGCAAGAGAAGAGGCAGAACGGCTCCAGGAAGAAGAGAGATGGGCAAGAGAAGAGGCAGAACGGCTCCAGGAAGAAGAGAGATGGGCAAGAGAAGAGGCAGAACGGCTCCAGGAAGAGGCAGAACGGCTCCAGGAAGAGGCAGAACAACGACTGCAACCCAACTCTCTATTTCGCCTTCTCGATCGCTGCCACGAATCTCTGTCACAGACGATCCGAGTCGAGACGAACGCGACCCTGAC